GTGAAATGTCTTAAAGCACAACCGGCTGACTCAATGAGGAAACTAATAAAAAAGGACTTATCTCAGGTTTTTCATATATAAGATACTATGGAGAAAATCATCTTATGATCTGTCAAATTTTGACTATGCCATTCATTTTCACAAATGTTCACCCATAATTAAGAAATAGGTTTACACTTTGACTTTGTTTGTCATAAATGTCACCCTCTGACTTTAGGAAATTCAGTTGCAAAATCTGCAGAAGCCTCTCTGGGAAAACATGTGGTCATTTTTCAGCAGTTGAATTGAATCTCTCATCACAGCTTACTCTGAAGTGTGACATTCAGGAAGTATGATTGTTAAGTGCAGACCCAATCTGAACTCTCTTACTTGCCCACAGAAATGCAGCAGCATTGCTTCAATCTAAAGCCAGCAAGAAGAAACTGACTAGAAAGGGGAACATTTGAATATTATTGGTGGGACTGTAAATAAGTAAAGCTATTTTAGAAAATTGTGTAGAATCTCCTCAAAAAGCTAAAAATAGAACTACCATATGATCCAACAATTCCACTTCTGTATATATCTTCAAAGGAATTGAAATCAGTTGTTGGAGAGATATCTACACTCTGATGTTTATTTCATGATTATGCATAATAGCCAAATTATCAAAGCAACCTACATGTCCATCAGTGAATAAATGGATAAAGAAAAAGTGGCATAGATACAGAAAACAATACTATATGACTTAAAAAAAAAGACATTCTCCCATTTACTCCAACGTAAGTGGAAGTGGGACACAATATGCAAATGAAGTAAGCCAGGTAAAGAAAAACAAATATTGAATTATCTCACCTATATGTGGAACCAAGAGAAGGTGATCTTTTAGAAACAGAATAGAAAGCAAACAGCTACCAGAGGCTGGGGGAGGGGTGAGGAAAAGGAAAATGTTGATAAAATGGCACAAATTTTTATGTTTTCTGGAAGAAATGCTTAAGTGACCACAGTTAATGTATTGCATATTACAAAATTACAAAATAATAGAATTTTAATATTCTTGTCATAAAATGATAAGTTGGTTATGTTATGTATATATTAATTGTCTTCCATGCCCAGAATAGTGAAAGCAATCCTTAGTGAGAAAAGTGAAGTGGGAAATGATATCACAATACCAGACCTTAAATTATACTACAGAACTACAATAACAAAAACAGCATGGTGTTGGCAACAAAACAGACATGAAGACCAATGGTACAGAATAGAGGACAAAGAGTCATGCCAACATAAATATAGTTATCTCGTACTAGACAAAGGCCCCATAAACATACACTGGAGGAGAGATAGCCTCTTCAACAAATAGTGCTGGGAAAACTGGAAATCTGTATATAGCAAAATGAATTTCAACTCTTTCTCTCACCCTGCACAAAACTCAACTCAAAATGGATCAAGGATCTAGGCATTAGACCAGAGACCCTACACCTACTAGAAGAAAAATTGGGCCCAACTGTTCATCATATCGGCTTAGGAAAACAACTTCCTCAACAAGACTCCTGAAGCACTAGAAGTAAAATCAAAAATCAATAAATGGATGGTATCAAACTAAAAAGCTTCTTTAAAAACAAAGGAAACAATCAAGAATGTGAAGAGAGAGTTCATAAAATGGGAGAAAATCTTCACCACACACACATCAGATAGAGCACTAATCTCCAGGATATATAAACAACTCAAAAAACTTAACACCAAAATAATAATAATAATAATAACAAAAAAATCAGGTAAATGGTCAAAGGCACTGAATGAGCACTTCACAAAATAAGAAATAGGATCAGTCAACAAGTATATAAAAATGTTCAACATCTCTAGCAATTAGAGAAATGCAAATTAAAACTACACTGAGATTTCATCTCACTCCAGTTAGAACGGCAATTATCAATAATACAAGTAACAATAAATATTGGTGAAGATGTGAGGAAAAAGGTACACTTATATTTTACTAGTGGGACCACATATTGGTGCAACTATTATGGAAAGCATTATGGAAACTCCTCAGAAATCTTGGAATGGCACCACAATTTTGACCCAGCTATCCCACTCCTTGGTATATACCCGAAGGATTTAAAATCAGCATACTATAGTCAAGCAGGGACATTGGTATTTTAGTGTCTCAATTCACAATAGTTAAGCTATGGAACCTACCTAGGTGTCCTTCAATGGACGAATGGATAAAGAAAATGTAGTATATATAAACAGTGGCATATTATTCAGCCATAAAGAAGAATGAAATTATGGCATTTGCCAGTAAATAGATTGAACTGAAGATATCATGCTAGGTGAAATAAGCCAATCCCCAAAACCAAAATGCCGAATGTTTTCTCTAATATGCAGGTGCTAACACACAATAAGGGGAGGAATAGAAGTTCATTGGATTAGACAAGGAGGGATGAAGGAAAGGGACAGAGGATGGGAATAAGAAAGATAGAAGATAAAATGGACGTAACTTTTCTATGCTCATATATAAATACATGACCAGTGTAACATCATGTACAACCATGTACATCCACAAGAATAGGAAGTTATACTCCATGTATGTAAAATATATCAAAATACACTCTATTGTCATATATGTCTAAAAAGAACAAATAAAAAAAATTAAAAAAATAAAAATCATATTGTACCTCATAAATGCACACAATTATTATTAATTAATTAGTAATGCATTTTGAAAGAAAATGCATGATTAAAATAAATGTATCTATAGAAATTACCACAGGAAATTATATGCAACATATCTGAAACTACATTTAAGATGCAAATTTCTTTTCTGAACATAACTATTAAAAAATGAAAGAAAGGCATTGCTCACTTTCTGGATTTTTCATAGGTATGTTCACAGGTTGTTGGCCAGGTATAGAACACACACATTGCAAATATCATTCTTATTAAGTAGACAGGAAGTGTGAAGTCAGAAAATTTCCCTCTACACTATCTTGTAATGTCTTTCTTTTTTACTCCTTTGCCCCCTTTTCAATCACTAAGAACCTTTTGAAGTGCCAGCCTTCCTTGTTTGAGAAAATCTAACAGCTGGCTGATAAATCTAGCTCATAAATGCATTCATTGAATTTTCACTAGCTTAACCTAATACCACTAACAGGAGCATTTGCATTTCAAGAATAGGAATTCAGAGAGGCAGTAAGTAACCTCTGGGAATAGATTACTAATAACGTCATTTCTGGTTAGAAGCACACATGCAGGCAGGACTAGGAAACACATCAGTGTGGGTGCATTTTCCCTACATCAAAATAATATACTTAAGCAGTTGCCAATTTGTAAGTCTAACTCTAGTGGTATGTTATCATTTTATATCCCTAGAAACTATGGACAAGTATTATTTTTCCAATCTTGAGCAATAAATTTGACCAAGTGGAAAAATGTATCATGTTCTAGTGAATAATTCCTTTCTGCGCCTTCTAGGACACCCACATTCACAGCTGCAGAAACCAAGACATCAGCACAGAGTCAGCCAACAGCAATCCCTCCCTTCCCCAAGGGCTCTACAATTCAGCAACTGACTAGTCCCTACTAAGCACCAGCTTTGGACTAAACTTTGCTGTTAGAAATACATAGATAATTAATTTCTCCCTTCCCCCACCCAGTCTCGAAAGCTTGTTGAATAACCAGCCTCCTCCTCAGAAAACTTGCTTGGTGGGTGGGGGAGGGACAGCCGACTGGGAAAGAAAAAAACTCCACCCAGAGATTTCAAGTCCTCTAAGGAGGTCCTTTACTCACAATCCCGCCAAAACTAAACTTCTGCGGAAGGTCAGTCCAAGGAGTACTGCTGACCTCAGCTTTTCTGGAGGTCCCCAGAACCATGCAGCTGCTTAGCTTGCCTGGGTTTCATATACTCAGTCTCAAACCCAAGTTTCAGTTATTCTGGAACCACTTCCATGGAGGAAAACCCCACCTATACTTGTGGTCAGAGAAATTAGGCAGAGCTTCTTTCAATATCCAACATTATGGTGCCACTTGGCAACCATAATATGCAGATAGTGCCATCCTGTGAGTCATGCTCATGTAGTCTACAGCTGTTCATTACATTTTGTTTCTGGGGGGGGGAAAAAACTAGTAGTACAATAAAGTCTTTATCCTGATACTTCACAGAAGAAACTTCACTGGCACGTCTTTTACTAAAATTTAGTATCTACAACACTTTAATCTGAGGAAATTCAGTATATAAAAATATACTGATTTGTCTGTATCATAAAAAGGTTGTGGTATGACTAGGTCTCACTGATATCTTGGTATGGCTTACATTAACTTCTCTAGGATTATATATATTTTTATATACTGTGAATAATCTTACATACTTAAGAATCAAACTCCAAGTGTGAAGTCAGCCAGCTTTAAAAAAGAACAAATATTTTGTTATTTCAAGTAAGGAAAATGGAAGAAATTCCTTCTAAAAACGACAGCAAAATACTTGGAACCGCTTCTTAAAATATTTCCCATGTTCTCAAATTAAAAATACATCCAAAGAAATGTTCATGGTAAGTTGAGAATCAGCCCCACTGAGATTTGACAGCTGTGCTAGCTTCTAGGGCTTGATGAAAATCCTTTTGTACTATTTGAAGCCATCAGGTCCCACCCGAGAAGGCATGCATGGAAAATGTCCCAATCCAAGAAAACATGTCAAGTCTCATTTTGTGAAAAGATTTAGGCATTTAAATATATTTACTACTTGAATGCTGTTTAATTTGGTTGACAGAAACCATGGCTTTAAAATTTTAAGTTTATTTTTCTCCACAGCTCACACTAAGAGAAATGCGTTTAATCAACCACAATCTTAATTTTGACACAGAATTGTTAGGAGCAGTGTTTAACATTAGCCTGGACTCCTGGTTTTTGTCAAAGGCATACTAAATTGTAGAGAAAGGAGCTTTCTATCTAGACAGCCTCATTTCCTTTCACAAAGCATGCAGCAGTTTCAGTGAACATTTTAACCACTTACACTTATAAATAGATATTACCTCACTGGAGTCTCCATTCTTCTTAACAATATATTCCACCAAAGTAAGATATTAGCAGATTCATGGTTACATTTTCAATGGAAGCAGCAGAAATTTAGTGTCGTTTCCAATTCACGGAGACTTTTAAGTTCTATTTTTGAATGTATGAAAAGAAAGCCAAGAGCCTTACCCTTTCTACCCAGATATCCTGTAGAGAACTGCAGGCTTGTACAGCTACAAGAGGAAGTAACGTAGTTTATTCAGCAAAACAGGAAAAAAACAAAATCGTTTACCTCTAATGGGAGGTAGAACTGTTCGTCAGCATCACTCAGTTGTTTAGGAAAGCAGTCCCCTCAGAGGATATTGTGGGCAAAGAAAATTCAAAGTTTGGCTTTGATAAATTCAGAGTTTCCATGATTTGTACAACTTCTTCAATCAGGAACAGAGTATCTGACTTTAATTTGCCACGTATTACCATAGTTTTTTTTTTCCAGTCGATTTTGAAAGTTTAAAGTGTGGGCTATGCAAAAACCCAGCTTAACTGTTAGAATTTTACTTTGTTATTTAAAAAGTGAGTTGTATTGTATTTAAAATTCTACTAAATTCATACAGAAAGCAATAAACATTATTTACACATTGATTCCCCATTGTCTATCCATCATATTTTCATCCTTACCATAACTTCTTCCTGCTTCAGTCCTCCAAGGCATCTACTTCTTGGGGAAGTTCATTTGACTACTCTGAAGGGTATCAGGGAGCTATTCCATAGTTTGCTAAACTTGAAGAAAGTACTACACTTCCAGATATCATTACATCCCATGGATGCAATGGCTGCTGCTTCCATCTAAAGACATAAAAGGTCATGTGTCTTTGCTATGGTGCTTGGAAAAAGAATGTGTCAAAAATGCAGTGAGCTTCCTGCTATGCACACACCCATCTTACTCTATCATGATCTTTCTTCTTCCTTTTTTTTTTCTATGTGTATGCATGTGTATGTGTGAGTCAAATATGACTTTCAGACTGGCTGAATGAGGTAAATATTTCCAATCCATATTGAATTATTTAGCTCACACTGCTATGTTCTGCCATGTTGTCTGTTTCAAGTATATAAGAGGTATTAATAGGAAACCTTTTGGGAATCAGGTCAAACTTTATTGGGTCACCAAAAAGAAATGATGTGAGGTCACCAGAAAGACTACTTGACAATGTCTCCCATAAAGATAACTAACATAACTCTTTGAGACATTCTTTTTTGGTTAAGACTTGTTCTCTTCCTATACTTATCTTCAAATATACTAGTTTTAACATATTAAATTCTTAAAAGTAATGAAAATGTGTTTGTTGGGTAGCATTAGGCATGGGTGGAAGAAAAGCAAAATGCCTAAAGATGCAGACAATTGCTCAGAAAATATTGGTAAAGATTTCAAAGACAAACTTCCAGGGTTTCATGATATTGATATTGGCCACATTGGAAGGGCTCACCAACAGTTATTTAACAGACTTTTGTCTGAAAATATCATTAACTGCAGCAAAAGCAAAACTTTGAAACCAAAAATTCATCCCTAAAAATGTTAGTTTCACTATTGAATGTAGTTATAGTTTGAATATCTAAGATTTTAAGTGGCTCTCTGGCAAATTCTGGATATTTTCCTTTTAAATGTAAAAATGTGAAAGTGTGTGTGTGTGTGTGTGTGTGTGTGTAGTATAGAAGAAAAATCAAATGATCATAATACTGTTATAGGCCATGATAGCTCAACAAAGGTTGTGCCCTGAGGAGTAATGTAAAAAAAGCCAGGGCCATGGCATATGGTTATATGCAGTGAAAATCTGCAAAAGAGTAACAATAATCTGAAATGTGCATGGAGCTGAAATTCAAGCCAAGAAGTGCTCCTTAGCACAGTGCTTCTTCACCTGCAGGAAGATGTATAGTTTTCCTTCATGAAAGGCAATCCTTTTAACCAGAGAACCATGTGAGAGTGGAAGACACACTTTTTTCTAATTTTATAAAGGAGACAAATGGACTAGAAATGATTATGATTAAATATATTATTTTTTTACATAATCTGAAAATAAGATACAAATAAATTGGTGGAGCAAGTCTGAAGGCAAGAAAACAAGTCAGGAATATCATGACAGTCCAAGTATAAGTTAATAAGAATTTGGCAAATATCATGAACAGGTCACGGGCAATTTCAAATTGTGTGGATAAAGATTGAATATCAGGAAGTGACTTGTTTATTGAAAAGAACTATATTGTTATTCCATCAAAAGAAGGTAGTCAGATCAGCTGCTTTAGGAAGTAGGTGTGATGATCATATAGTAGAGCTTTCAAATAATGGGGCTGGGTAGCCAACTACATTAATGTTTTTCCCTCACTAGTTTCTGGTGTTTCAAGTTTCTTGTTCCATGTTCCTACCACAATCTTCTTTTGCTCTCCCTTAACATCAGGAGATCTTAATCTTGATTCCATGAATGGGCTTCTGTAGGTACACAAAACCCTTGAAATTGTGGGCTGCTGGGAGCCATTAGCCAAGTAGGTATGACAATTTCCTTGCCAGCGTACCCCATGTTGCTTAGTGGAAGGACTCGTGGAAATAGGACATTTTGCAGTGACATTGCATCTAAGGTGACCTTGCTCAAGGACCAGGGCGGATCCGGGTTTAGGGTGTTCCCGGTTTAGGATAATCCGGGTTTAGGGGTTTAGGGTGTTCTAGGTTTAAGGTTATTCCTGCTGGGAATAGGGCGTATCCTGCTGCCTGAGTTCCCCTTGAGTTCTCACGGGATTCAGACAGTATTTTTGGGGAGACAGAAGCCCAGTGGGGGTGGATTTGGGCAGAGAACGTGGATTTCCCCAGAACGTGTTTGTAGAGTGCCGGTGTGAGTTCGGGAATAAAGAGTTGCTGTTTGAATCTACAAGCTGTGTGGTGGCTCATTATTTTGTGCCCAGCCAGACTGCGGCAGTGGGCATATTGTTGATTTTTTATGTTTAACATTTTTAAGTGTCTTATTTTAGAATTGTTCTATTTGGCCTTCAAATTTCTTTTGGGGGAAGTAAATAGGAGACACTTATAAATGATAGAGACATGGAAAGATGATAAATAGCTAGATCTTCATTATCATTATGGCATCTGAGGGAGAATGAACAGACTGGAGTAATATTCTCTTTTTTTAGTACCTAGGAAGAACACTAGAACCCTCTACAGTGCTTTTTAATTTCTTACTTTGAGAAAGGGTCTTGTTCAGTTGCTTTAGGACTCAGAAAGTTGGTGAGACTGGCCTTGAACTTGTGATCCTCCTGCCTCAGCCTCCAGAGTTACTAGGATAACAGGTGTGCACAACAGTGCCTGGTTTGGAGTCTTTTTTTTTTTTTGGTCCCAGGGATTAAACCCAGGGGCACTTAACCACTGAGCCACATGCCCAGCCATTTTTGTATTGTTTTTTTAAAGATATGGTCTCACTGAGTTGCTTAGTGCCTCACTAAGTTGCTGAAGCTGACTTTGAACTTGCAATTCCCCAGGCTCAGCGTCCCGAGCCACTGGGATTACAGGTGTGTACCACTATGCCCGGCTAGAGTCATCATTTAAGAATCAAAGAATTTTGAAGAAAAGTTCAGTATTTTCACTTAGTATTTACAAATTTAATTTAAGCAGGAAAGAATAAGAATAATGGAAATTTTTAAAAAGTCTCAGAACCCATCATAGAGAAGAAATTCTATATACTGACAAATGTTGTAATGGTAAGAAGACAAAATTATTAATTCCTATAGTCCATTGGCTATAAATTAAGTTGAACAAAGTGTATGTGAACAAAGAATAAGAAGAAGAACTAATTCACTGTATACTTGCAGACTGTCACAGGTAAGATGGGTGATTACAAAAAGAAGAATTTGAGAGATGGTACAAAGGAAAAAAATAACTGGATTTTGTGTCTGACTTTGGAGATTGGGAGAGAAGAGACAATCAACAAGCAACGTATTTTGGGCCTAACTAACTAGGTTGATGATGTGAAATGGAGGCAGACATGGTGGTGCACACCTGTAATCTCAGTGCCTTGAGAGGCTGAAGCAGAAGGATTGTGAGTTCAAAGCCAGCCTCAGCAATTCAGTGAGGCCCTAAGCAACTCAGTGAGACCCTTTCTCTAAATATAATATTAAAAAGGGCTGGGGATGTGGCTCAGTAGTTATGCATCCCCGAGTTCAATACCCAGTACAAAGAAGATGGAGGAGGAGGAGGAGGAGGAGGAGGAGGAGGAGGAGGAGGAGAGGAAGAAATAAAGGAAGGAGGAAATAGAGCTTCACTCATCTGTTCAAGAAGTGTTTATTGAGCAACTAGTAACCTGTAAGTACTTTGCTCCGTGGCACAGTAATAAGGTATGGCTTTTAGTCACAAGGATTTTAAAATATATATTGGTATTACTGTTCCTACTAAAGGGACATGATTGGAAAGAAATCTCATCACTTTTAGAAAGAGTAGATAAGTAACAAAGAAGGGAGAAAACTCAAGAATTATTTATCTACTAACCAGAGCTACTTTGCTCACACAAATGCCTTGGATGCATATACATGAACTTATTAAAATTATCATTTTCCCTCTAATTGCTATGACTTGTCCCTTGATACACTTGTATTACAGCCCATTCTGCCCTCACTTTCACAAATTTCTCTGACTAAAAAACAGCTTGAGATTCCAGTATTATTGTCCTATTTGTAGGTGACTGAAGAAGGCTGTTAGCTTCCTTTAAACAGCATTGATTCCCTCTTGGCACCATTAAGCAACAAGAGAATCACTGTGCAGAGAAATCCATGACATTCCATTACATTCATGGAAATGGTTGAATAGAAGCAATTGGCCTAGATTTCTTGGTGTTTTAACCAGACCACAACAAGCTAATCTGCTTCAAGCCCTGTCACATATTTCTGTGAAACTGTATTGTGGGAGTCCTGTTTTCATATTCCTTACTGTTTGTGATGAGCTTTCAAGACACTTGCTGTTGTTTTTCAAACTTACAGCAATTGACTCAGAGACAGTTTTTTTCTTTCATCCTGAAATAACTTCAAAGCCACTTGAAAAACCAAACTATTTTCCCACGGAATAGTGAAGCTTCCATATTTATGTATGAAGCAATTAATTTAAGGTTTTCAAGAATTTCTTTAAGAATGGAAGTT